CATGGGAGAGGCAACTCAAACTTGTCAACTACACTTCTTCCCTCGTCGGATCGATTGTAGTCAGTGAAATTCATGAAAATGGACCGACTGTCACAACGGGGTTCGAACCCACACATAAACACCACCTAGGTTTTTGTACAGTGCAAGCTCTACCAGCTAAGCTACGAGACCACACGGTCTGTATCGGTTCATATGTAATCGAGAATACTGAAATTTTCATAATTCAAAATAAGGTGAAGCTGGACGGTCTACAGCTGAAACCAATCAAGTTGTCTTGGGTCGACCATGGCATACTTACAGCCAAAGAGTTGAATCCATTTCGGTATCTAAGCAGAATTTCACTGATCTTGCTCGAAATTGCATGTATCTTTCCCCAGCCATCCTTCATTGTCTCTTGATTAGCATCATTTCTTCCCCTTGCTTACTGGATCTATCGAACGGTCTGACTGTGTTCTCACGTCAGTGACCAGCATCACCTTCAATCTTAATTGCTCGCCCCCAGCACTTCACGCCCATTTTACTCGTAACCCGTTTATAATTCACCGATCGATCGTTTCAAATTCGAAAGCTTAGACAGTTTCGCACACCCTCAGTCCGTTATTTCTACCTTTGTGCATCAGTGTGTTTTCCCCATCTTACTCTACTGTTCCCTAGTTATTTTCCTTGACTTACTTAAACAGGATTTCAAAATCTTGCACCGCGATCTAACTATTATTAGCCGCGTTTCTTCCTTCTATTCCTGTGAATACGTATCATGCACGTTCCTGTGTAAAATTTACGAACAGGATTCTCACAGATCTTAACCACCCATCAATGCACGCAGAACTGATACGCTATCGCTCCCATTCTTCCACACGCTTCCAATTTCATCCGGAATTAACACTTACCGAAATAGATCCATACCCCGTATCTTGCATGTTTACTCACAAACAAAGAGAGGGCAATAAGCGAACTTCATCTTTACTTTGATATATGAAGTGTCTGTCCTAAGTCTGTGAACACTATTTCCCCGTTAAATATATATATTCTCTGTGACAGTTGGCGTCTCGAGGTTTTTAATTGAAAAGTAATCTTCAGTGCCTGCAAAAATTATACACATACACAATACAATGACTGGGTTGCGTAACCCCTAATAAACTATTGATTATATAATTGCCGAAATAGTTTCACCGAGATTACTCGTGATGCGATGTGTATGTGTGTGTGTGTGTGTGTGGTTGCCCAGAGAAGCTTTAGCGTTTGCAAAAATTGTATTTAGGCACACAGAGGGAGGTTGTGAAGACGAATGCCCACCGCTTCTGCCGTAGCCAACATCCGACAGCGAATCTGCCTCAATAATCGCCCACGAACTTCATACAGGGGTCGGAAAGCCTCGGACACGTCCACAGTGTGATCTGTTTCAGCTAGGTGTGAAACCGCTGCACTGGTGTGTGACTTAATCGTCCCGGTGTTCAGCCAAGCAGGGTGTTCACGAATCCGTTCGGACAATCGCCTGACCTTGCGGCCTATGTACATCGTTCCATAGGAACAGGTAAATAAGTATACACAGAATGAGACCGCAGAGTCTGGAACTTTGCCCTTCAGTCGCAAACACAATTGGCTTGGACGTGACCAACACACGAAGCTTAG